TGGAATTCGTAGTTAACATTTACATTGAGTAATAATGATGTAAATAAATGATAAAACTTACTCTGATATAAAGAATCACAAACACTTTTCATACAAAAACACATTTCGTTAAATTGACAACTGTCATTTAATTGAAATCCTTCAAAATTAATACCAACCTCAAAAAAATCTAAATCTTTATACGCAAATTTAGTAATTTGTAAATTAAACCAGATGAGGGTTGTCAAAATGATTGTTGTGTGTGATCCTTTTTAATTATACAAGCTCGTTTGGACTTAGTCAATACATTATTTTGATTTTTAAGGTGAGCGGAGAAGTAAACTCTCCAGGAGTTTCTCAGAAACTGTCATTCGTTAAATTGACAACTGTCATTTAATTGAAATCCTTCAAAATTAATACCAACCTCAAAAAAATCAAATTTACTAAACGCATATGAATTTATAAAATAAACTATTTATAGATGAATGAGTTATAGGTTGTTATCATTCATTTATAACCACTTAAAAATGTGTGAAATTCGTAGTTAACATTTATATTGAGCAATAAAGATGTAAATAAATGATAAAACTTACTCTGATATAAAGAATCACAAACACTTTTTATACAAAAACACATTTCGTTAAATTGACAACTGTCATTTAATTGAAATCCTTTAAAATTAATACCAACCTCAAAAAAATCAAAATCTTTATACGCAAATTTAGTAATTTGTAAATTAAACCAGATGAGGGTTGTCAAAATGATTGTTGTGTGTGATCCTTTTTAATTATACAAGCTCGTTTGGACTTAGTTAATACATTATTTTGATTTTTAAGGTGAGCGGAGAAGTAAACTCTCCAGGAGTTTCTCAGAAACTGTCATTCGTTAAATTGACAACTGTCATTTAATTGAAATCCTTCAAAATTAATACCAACCTCAAAAAAATCAAATTTACTAAACGCATATGAATTTATAAAATAAACTATTTATAGATGAATGAGTTATAGGTTGTTATCATTCATTTATAACCACTTAAAAATGTGTGAAATTCGTAGTTAACATTTATATTGAGCAATAAAGATGTAAATAAATGATAAAACTTACTCTGATATAAAGAATCACAAACACTTTTTATACAAAAACACATTTCGTTAAATTGACAACTGTCATTTAATTGAAATCCTTTAAAATTAATACCAACCTCAAAAAAATCAAAATCTTTATACGCAAATTTAGTAATTTGTAAATTAAACCAGATGAGGGTTGTCAAAATGATTGTTGTGTGTGATCCTTTTTAATTATACAAGCTCGTTTGGACTTAGTTAATACATTATTTTGATTTTTAAGGTGAGCGGAGAAGTAAACTCTCCAGGAGTTTCTCAGAAACTGTCATTCGTTAAATTGACAACTGTCATTTAATTGAAATCCTTCAAAATTAATACCAACCTCAAAAAAATCAAATTTACTAAACGCATATGAATTTATAAAATAAACTATTTATAGATGAATGAGTTATAGGTTGTTATCATTCATTTATAACCACTTAAAAATGTGTGAAATTCGTAGTTAACATTTATATTGAGCAATAAAGATGTAAATAAATGATAAAACTTACTCTGATATAAAGAATCACAAACACTTTTTATACAAAAACACATTTCGTTAAATTGACAACTGTCATTTAATTGAAATCCTTTAAAATTAATACCAACCTCAAAAAAATCAAAATCTTTATACGCAAATTTAGTAATTTGTAAATTAAACCAGATGAGGGTTGTCAAAATGATTGTTGTGTGTGATCCTTTTTAATTATACAAGCTCGTTTGGACTTAGTTAATACATTATTTTGATTTTTAAGGTGAGCGGAGAAGTAAACTCTCCAGGAGTTTCTCAGAAACTGTCATTCGTTAAATTGACAACTGTCATTTAATTGAAATCCTTCAAAATTAATACCAACCTCAAAAAAATCAAATTTACTAAACGCATATGAATTTATAAAATAAACTATTTATAGATGAATGAGTTATAGGTTGTTATCATTCATTTATAACCACTTAAAAATGTGTGAAATTCGTAGTTAACATTTATATTGAGCAATAAAGATGTAAATAAATGATAAAACTTACTCTGATATAAAGAATCACAAACACTTTTTATACAAAAACACATTTCGTTAAATTGACAACTGTCATTTAATTGAAATCCTTTAAAATTAATACCAACCTCAAAAAAATCAAAATCTTTATACGCAAATTTAGTAATTTGTAAATTAAACCAGATGAGGGTTGTCAAAATGATTGTTGTGTGTGATCCTTTTTAATTATACAAGCTCGTTTGGACTTAGTTAATACATTATTTTGATTTTTAAGGTGAGCGGAGAAGTAAACTCTCCAGGAGTTTCTCAGAAACTGTCATTCGTTAAATTGACAACTGTCATTTAATTGAAATCCTTCAAAATTAATACCAACCTCAAAAAAATCAAATTTACTAAACGCATATGAATTTATAAAATAAACTATTTATAGATGAATGAGTTATAGGTTGTTATCATTCATTTATAACCACTTAAAAATGTGTGAAATTCGTAGTTAACATTTATATTGAGCAATAAAGATGTAAATAAATGATAAAACTTACTCTGATATAAAGAATCACAAACACTTTTTATACAAAAACACATTTCGTTAAATTGACAACTGTCATTTAATTGAAATCCTTTAAAATTAATACCAACCTCAAAAAAATCAAAATCTTTATACGCAAATTTAGTAATTTGTAAATTAAACCAGATGAGGGTTGTCAAAATGATTGTTGTGTGTGATCCTTTTTAATTATACAAGCTCGTTTGGACTTAGTTAATACATTATTTTGATTTTTAAGGTGAGCGGAGAAGTAAACTCTCCAGGAGTTTCTCAGAAACTGTCATTCGTTAAATTGACAACTGTCATTTAATTGAAATCCTTCAAAATTAATACCAACCTCAAAAAAATCAAATTTACTAAACGCATATGAATTTATAAAATAAACTATTTATAGATGAATGAGTTATAGGTTGTTATCATTCATTTATAACCACTTAAAAATGTGTGAAATTCGTAGTTAACATTTATATTGAGCAATAAAGATGTAAATAAATGATAAAACTTACTCTGATATAAAGAATCACAAACACTTTTTATACAAAAACACATTTCGTTAAATTGACAACTGTCATTTAATTGAAATCCTTTAAAATTAATACCAACCNATGATGAATTAATGTTAAAATTGATTAAAATCAATGATTTATCATCAATTTTTGTTTCGTGTTATTTCAAAAAAATTAAAAAAATTAAATATGAGATCACCACTCAATTAGAGTCTATTTACAAAGTCACGTAAATTCGGATTAAATACTATGAGTGAACTATGACGTAATGTATTATTATGTTTACTTCAACATAAATTATAGTAGAAATTTTCGTTTTTGTAGATTTTAAAGTGTTGTTATGACACTTTTATATTATTTCTGTTATAATTACTACAGATTTTCTGCAACATTTGCGGTGATTTATTACCGCTTGTAAAGAACTATGCAGTATTTTGATGGGAAAATATTATCTAAGGTTTATGTAATATCTAAGTTTGGACTTGGGAGTGTATGTACTACCGCAAATCGCATCTAATTTCTATTAGGCCCCTTATATATCTTTTCCACAATCAATTTGGTCACTTAAACCAACTTAGAGATTTCGTATAAAATATATTGACTCACAAAGATATGATCCTGATGTCATTTGTGTATCACCAGTGTAAATCCTAAGGATTTTATCTACTCCCTCACTACATTGCTCTCCAATACCTTGTTTGTACATCCTCCAGCAATCCTTATTCTCTCCATCCCCATACTTCTGCGCCGTACACCATTGTAATTAACCAGTCTGGTTACTTAAACCAACTTAGGGATTTCTTATAGGATACTATGACTCTCAAAGGTGTGTTCCTGATGCCATCTTTGTATCAACAGTGTAAATCTTTGATTTAGCATGACTTCCATAACTGCGGAGTAGGTTGATCGCAACATACCTATAACATATAAATACATAAGTCTCTGTATTCAGCAGTGACTCAAAATAACATGTTAGTAGTCACTTTTAAGGTCTGTATACAGAAAGAAAAGGTGATATAATTTCCGCCGAATGACAAAGACTTAGAGAATTACCATCTGGGGAAACAACTCCATATCTACCGAGACCAAAAAGAAAATAGAAATGATAGAATGCTAAAACTGATTAAATTACTTTTCTCAAAATATGCTTTAGATATTTATTTTTGACAATTTAATATCATCAGCTTATCCAAGCATTAATGAAGAAAGATAAAAGGGCATCATCAAGCATATCTCACAAAGCATTTGATTTATCAAATGTCATGTCAAATACCTTTAATAAATCCCTCCACAATTATAACGCAGAAATTTTTAAGTTGGTAATATTGTCAAATATTTTTATGACATTTTATGTCAAGATATCATCAAGCATATCTCACAAAGCATTTTAATGGTTAAGTTTAAAGAAATCTATACAATACCGAAGAAACTATGTAGTTCTCTTCAATAGCAAATCATAATTTATTAAATGTCATATGAAATACCTTTAAAAAACTTTCCACAATTATAATAACGAAGAAATTTCTAAGTTGGTAATAATGTATATACCAGGATCTAAGCAAGATTGTCACAAAAGCTGTCAAATAACTCTTAGCCAATGAAAATACTTAAATCTTCATCTTGGCGATGATTTGGCAAAATCCTACTTTTAGTCTTGATTGAAAAAATGTATTTGTAGTCCTTCATTATATACGATTTAACCAATTTCATCAGCGGATTTTTTTCTCTTCTCGGCATAAAGCTATATCATTGGCGTTTCAAAAACTGTGATTCTTCCTCGCCATAACTAATTCCATATTCGATGTTTTGTCCGGTTGATGGTACCTAAAACAAAGACATCAATTAATTAGAGATTAATATTATGTTATAAATTGTTTTTTTTGTAGCGGGACCAATACATTATGAACCAAGAAGAAGCACGGAAATCCAGCGCCGTTCCAATATGACACAAAGGGACGAGGTGCAAAAATTCGAGCAGGGCCGTATCAAGGTCTTGCAAGAGGAACGTTTACACATCCAAAAGAAAACCTTTACGAAATGGATGAATTCATTTCTCGTCAAGGTAAATAAACAATTAATTATTTTTTTTTCTAAACATTAAAAACCTTAATGATTACATCCTACGATTTTCTGTTTGGATTCGACAAAACGTAAACAATAACACAGATGGTTTTGAAATTTGGTGTCGAATGCTTGGGTAGTTAAAGGTGGAATGCGTTGTATTAATAAACCAAATGATTGAGGTTAATAAACCCTAAATTACTTAAATTTCTTTAGAATTTCAGTTTTAATCCGATTAAATCCCATTTTTAGTAATTCTTTTTAATACCTCGATCTTTTTTCTTTCTTAATCTTAATCTTCAATTTTAATCTTTAATTTTAATTTAATTTAGGTTCGTTTAGAAGTTCACGATCTCTTCACGGACTTAGCGGATGGAAAAATTCTCTTGAAATTATTAGAAATAATTTCGGGGGAAAAACTAGCAAAACCCAACAATGGAAAGATGCGAGTTCACAAAATCGAAAACGTCAACAAAAGTTTGGCGTTTTTACATACGAAGGTTCGCCTGGAAAGTATTGGAGCGGAAGATATCGTAGATGGAAACCCCAGATTGATTTTGGGTCTAATTTGGACGATTATTTTAAGGTTTCAAATCCAAGAAATTGAAATTGATGTGGTAAGTTAGTTTTTTTTTAAATCGCATCGTGTTGCTTAATTTATTTTTTTTTTATTAAACTGATATCCTCCTTATCTTATCGATTATTTACTCTTAACGTGCCATAAGTGTGACATCAAGAGCTAAAAATGAACGCGACTTAAAAAATGTTTTGATAATATCAACTTAAAAGTTTTAAACCTTTATTTTGTTTAAAAATTAATCCAGATTTAAAAGTAGATTAAAAAGCATGTTGTAATCGCTATTGTTTAAAAAAATAAGTGTTAAAACTAATGTTAAAAACGAGCCATAAACGAATAGAACCGCGTATTGTTACATTTTTTGTTACGTGTTGTTCCAAAAATAAAATGTTTCATTTACCTTATCGCGTAAAATGATGGTATCGTAAAAATTTTAACGATCAAAAATCCTTGGTTAATAACTATAAAAAATAAAATCAAAAAAAAAATAAATTAAAAAATGTTATATGATTTAACACATTGAAGAAGTCGCCCTCTATTATCGCCGAATAAAATTAAATTATAGGAAACTGTAATAATCATTTAAACTCATTTATAAACTATTTTTTCAAAATGAGTCATGTATTGGTATGGAAGAACACGGTTTCTACCCTGGACGTTCTGTTGAGATCAATTTGTTATTATTACTATTGCTGCCGGGCTGAGGGGAGCGGCCCCTAAGCCTCGTTATCGCGACCTATAAGATCTATTGTAACTTTAGCCTTCAATCAGGTGATTTAGACATAGGTCCTTGAGGATTTCGAGGTGTCCTCTGAGGTTGCCCTACATCAATTATACATCATATAAATGGAGCGGTGTGAGACCGAGTAGGGCTTCCAAATTCCTCTCAGCATGTGTTCTAGCGTCTCCCAATCCTCTCGACATAGCCTACACCACCTCTCCACGTCGTCCGTCCAGTACCTGTTCTCTCTCTCTTTATTGCCATAGCGGTATCTGGCCACCACTCTCTTCCCTTCCTCGTTCCATTCCATCAACAAATACTTTGGCAGTTCCTCTATCACTATGTCCCCATATCTTACATTATATCTCCTTCCCGTATATCTCCCGGACCTTCACTTCTGCCTCTGTATGTCCCTGTCCCTATCCCTCAGTTCTCTCTACATTTCACCTCTCTCCAATCTTCTATTGCCGATCCCAGTTATTGAATATCCCACTCTCCTACAATATCCTTCCCTATTTTCCTGTCCATATATCAACACCTTGATTTCCCTCCAGAATTCTCCCAGGATCCTGCAATGTGGCCTTCCTTCTATCTTTTCCTCGTATTGCACTGCACTTCTCCCAGCTTCCACGTTGCATTAACAATTCATTGATTCTATACTGGTATTCCACTTTTTCCCGTTCTGTTCTTAGTTCTTCAGTCCTTATTCTCTGGTATTCCTTTTTTGGTGGTTTTCTCTTTTGTACCCAGATAGGTTTAATTTTGTTTTTGTACATACCATCGTAACGTAGTATCTTTCGTTAAATAACATATTGTAATAAAGCTTCCGAGACAGGTTACCTGAGAGAGAGACATAACCTCAATTCATTTGACATTTAATTTTTAGTTGCTCATAATTCTTTTAAAACTGTTAATATTCATTCAAAACCATCCAAAACGGGAAGATCAGTGTCAGCTACATCTAATTTATTAGATTCCGGAAGATTTTGAACGATTTTGACTTTGGAAATTGTATTTTAAATTTGTAAACTTCAAACTTCTTTTGTGGTTGGAGAATTTTGAAACCTCCAATGTATGACTGCAATAGAAGGACATATGCATTAAATACGAAGTCTCATCCAGAGTAGTGAAGGAATAAAGAAGATATTAATAAAAGAAAATTTTGGAATTTGGAGTAATTCCAAAAAAATCCGATAGATGGCGTTTTCTAAATTTAGATGTATTTAAAATATTTTTAAAAGAAGAAATGGCGCGAAACCCATCTACCAATGAGGGTAGAGGGTTTAAAAAAAATTTCTGGAGAAGGGGAAAAGGTTATATAAGAAGAGGAAAAAGTTGAGCCAAGTCAGTCCAATTTAGTAAGGGCAAGAGCTCTGATAAATTTGATTAAAAAATCTAACCTAAAAAAATTCAAAGTAGTTTTCTAACCTAAAATTAGTTCTCCGACCCAATAGAGATCTTCAATCGAGTTGAATCGCACATCACCTAACAGTTATTTATCAGATAAGTGGGAGTTTTACTGTTCATGTCAATAATTCAAACTAATTTACGACAGACTTAAGTCTTTATAATTTTTATTAGTTTCTTAACGTAAACATAATAGTTTGACATCTGTCAAATTGTATAACGTCTGTTATATTGGCGGTATACGAAGTTAAATATAGAAACCTGTAAAATTAATTTTTCTTATTTGAACCTGAACTCGCTATATTATTATTGTTATTTTTATTTAAACCCTATATATAAAGTAATAAGTTATAAAGTAATTTTTTTTTGTTTAATAAATAATCGTGTTTCCTTATCAAAATAACAAAATGAACAAAACGTTACAATATGTAGTATATAAATAAATAATGATGGTTTAATTGTTTTTAGGATGAAGAAAATGAAAGTTCCGAAAAAAAATCAGCCAAAGACGCCCTTTTATTATGGGCCCAGAGGAAAACACACGGGTACAACGGAGTCCACATCACCGATTTTTCATCATCGTGGCGAAATGGACTTGGATTTAACGCGTTAATTCACGCCCATCGTCCGGATCTTTTCGATTTTAACGATCTCCTCAACGGGAAACCGCTCGATAATTTAAATCACGCCTTCGATATGGCCAACAACGAATTGGGCATTCCAAAACTATTAGACGCCGAAGACATCGACACGACACGTCCAGATGAGAAGAGTATAATGACTTACGTCGCTTCTTATTATCATACTTTTGCCCGAATGAAAAACGAAGAGAAAAGTGGGAGAAGAATAGCAAAAATTATTAGCCAAATGGTCGAAGCGGATAAAATGAAAAATCAATACGACAAATTTACTTCAAATTTATTGGAGTGGATTAAAGCTAAAGTTGTTGAATTGGAAAATAGGGATTTTCCAAATTCTTTAGAGGGAATCCAAAGTTTATTATTAGCTTTTGGGCAATATAGGACGATAGAAAAACCGCCTAAATATAAAGAACGAAGCGAAATTGAAGCTTTATACTTTAACATTAACACTCAATTAACTGAATTAAAACAACCAACTTTTACGCCACCCGATGGGAAGTTAGTTCAAGATATTGAAAGAGCTTGGGAAATGTTAGAAAGAGCTGAACATAGCCGCGAAGTCGGGCTGCGTAACGAACTCCGCAGACAAGAACGATTAGAACAATTAAATTACAAATTCGAAAAGAAAAGCATTTTACGCGAAGGTTACTTAAAAGATATGATCCAAGTACTTTCCGACCCCCGATATGGATCAAACTTAGCCCAAGTTGACGCCACCGTTAAAAAGCACGAAGCTATTTCAGCCGATATCTTAGCGAGAGAAGAAAGATTTCATGATTTAACCGAAATGGCCAACGAGCTTTTAAGCGAAAATTATCGAAATTCAGATAAAGTCCAAGCTCGCGAACAAGAAGTTTTGGGAAAATGGAATTATTTATTAGAACTCTTAGAGAAACACAAATTTAGTTTAAATCGAATGGGCAACATTATGGGACTTTTACGCGAAATCGACACCACTTTAGCTAGCATAAACCTATTAAAAACCGACTTAAGCTCTGTCGATACCGGCGCGCATTTATTCGCAGTCGAAGAATTATTACAAAAACACGCTTTACAAGAACTTCAAGTCACCTCGTTAGGAGAAACTCAAAGAAAATTGAAGAGAATGTGCGAAAATGCGGCGCAAAGCCCCAAAGAAGAGGAGTTGGTTAAAAGAAAATTAAACGAATTAGAATCAGCTTTTATCGAGTTACAAGTAAGTTAATTAATTATGTATACAGTAAAACTTCGACTTACGCGATTTTTCGTAATTACTTCGAATTTATTTAAAAAAAGAGATCGAGACAGAGAGAGAGTTTCTGAGATAGCCTATTTGGACACCGAATTTGAACCATCCTGTACAGGGTGGGTCAAATTGAGCACTTTTAAAGGGAAACTCCTATTTCTATAAGAGATAGAGGAAAAATGACATCAGTGTCTGAGGCTCGATTTTTATAAGAAACTTAATGTCAAAAACCATATATCGATATCTTTTACGATTTTAGAGACACAGGTGTTTTTCAAAAAAGTGCATTTTCGAAAAGTCGTCATAACTTTTTTCTTATTGATAAATTTTCCTTTCTGTGAAAACATTTCCAAAGCAACTGTTTATGTAGAATTCGATGGAATACCTTTGCCTCAAAGCATAATTTTAGCAGTTATTGACATAAAAATATTTTTTTTTAATATATTTTTGCAAATTCGACGAGTGCATAAAATTTTCTTTACAAAAATACAGATAATTATTAGCTCACATGCATCAAGTGACGTAAACAAGTGAGTCTTTGACAAGAACTCATTGAGAAGGCTTGTTTCCCCCGAGAAGGCACACTAGGCTAAATATCCATATGACATGTGCATTTTTCAAAAAACCCTAATTATTTCCGAAACTATTAACATTAGGTACATGACATATGGAGTATAAAATATGTAAAATGAGACGCTGAAGATGACTAAGTAATAAAATATGGGAGGTGCCATTTAAAAAAATGAAGTTATGGTACTTCCAAATTTTGAAAAGTTAACGTGCCATAGTAAAGTGACCAAATGATCTAGATAACCGTTCTCAGCACCAAAACATACTCCATCATGTTGTTTAAGCATATTCTGAATCCTAAATTGATATCCCAAAAATCGAGTGTTCTCTGATTTTTTGAACAAATGTCTGCTGGAGCAGATTTTTCTAGAAAAATTCGAATAACTTGAGCACGGCTGAATCAAATTGCAATGTTATTCATAACTTATTTATCTTATTTAATATATATATATATAACTTATTTATCTATTATCATCAATTTTTATAGGAAACATTTTTCTCTATCACTTTTAATTTATTAATCATAACAGAATTTAATGTAGATGATCGTCAATTTTGATATTTTGGGATATCCTGGTTTGTGCATAAGAAATGGAGATAGCTATGGTGGTGTTGGTTATGGATTATGTTATCTTTATCTATTATCATCAATTTTTATAGGAAACATTTTTCTCTATCACTTTTAATTTATTAATCATAACAGAATTTAATGTAGATGATTGTCAATTTTGATATTTTGGGATTTCCTGGTTTGTGCATAAGAAATGGAGATAGCTATGGTGGTGTTGGTTATGGATTATGTTATCTTTATCTATTATCATCAATTTTTATAGGAAACATTTTCCTCTATCACTTTTAATTTATTAATCATAACAAAATTTAATGTAAATGACTGCCAATTTTGATATTTTGAGATTTCCTGGTTTGTACATAAGAAATGGTATTAGCTATGATGGTATTGGTTATGGATTATGTTATCTTTCTCTATTATCATCAATTTTAAATCTGAATTCTCAAATTTTTATTTTGGCCAGAACCCCAGAAACATCTAATGGCCGGTCTCGCTGAGACACCCTGTATATGGCAACAAATAACAACAAAACTAAACCCCTTTTCTATAGAAAATGTTCAAAATGTCCTCAAAATGGTTTATGTTATACACAATTGACATCTTTTTTTAGCCCTTTTTGCCAAGTTGATAAGCTCAGTGGACCTAAGTGTTACAAAACCGTTCACAACTGTGACTTCTAATTGCTGTCGGGAATTTATTGGTTGTTTGTAGATAACATCTTTCAATATTCCCCAAAGGAAAAGATCCATAGGTGTTACGAGCCGCCCAACGAATAGAACCTTGTTTACCTAACCAACAATCACCAAAAGCTGCGGTCAATAAACTTGAAAATATACATTTCGCAGGTGCGCCAGAGGTAAATCGTCAACAACAGGTTCTATTTGTTGCCTAAATATGTTCAAATATTTTATTTGTGCTGTGCACCAGTACTATTTACATACGCTTCATATGTCCAAATACAATTTAAAGAAAAGTTGCGTTCTTCGTCACATTTTTCCAAGAACCATAGGCAAAAATTTATGCGCTGTTTAAAATCTCCTGATCTGAGGTAATTTGAGACTTTGCTAGTTCTGTATGGCTTAAATCTGAATTTTTTCAAAATCCTCCCAGCTTTGGTTCTTGGAATTCCCGTGGTTACACTCAATTGCCGCGTTGATATCTATGGATTATTTTCCATTGCCCCTAAAACTACTACTTCACCTAATTCCCCGTCTTCATTCGGTGTATAAGTTTTTGATCTTTTTTTTTCGAATTGACCGCTATTTTGTAGATTATATCATAATTTCTAAAAATATCATTAAAAGGTTGCCGCCTCTCTGAATATCGTTCATGATATAAATTTCCTGCAGACTCTGCATTATCCCCAGATTGTATAAAACAAGCTATCACGTTCCATAATTTTTATATGACATTATTTTGAAACTAAATAATACTCTAAGGATAAGCACTAACACTTAGATACAACTTGAATCAAAATTTGACAGAAGCGCCGTCAAAACCCATTAGCCTACTCGTAATTAAAAATCTTAAAAGTTTCCAAGTTGCGTATTTCAAAGAAGACTTGAACGAGATATCAACTGTGCTATATTTGTGGAAACGAAACTTTATGCTCTCGTCCAATTTGCAAATATATATAGGGTGATCCATTTGCAAAAATCATTTTTATGCCAATAACTATTAAAATATTGCTTTGAGGGAAAGCTAACTTATACCATCGAATTCTACATCAAAAGTTGCTTTGGAAATGTTTTCACAGAAAGAAGGATTTATTAATAAGAAAAAGTTATGACGACTTTTCGAAAATGCAATTTTTTAAAAAACATCCTGTATCTTTGAAACCGTTCTTATAAAAATCGAGCCTCAGACGTGATATCATCTTTTATAGAAAGAGGAGTTGTTTCCCTTTAAAAGTATCCATTTTGGCAAATTTGGGTGTTATTATAGTCTATCTCAGAAACTATAAGAGATACGAAAAAAGTAGGTGCCATGTCTCGGTCTCTTTTTCTGAGACTAATCCAATCCCGCAAAGACCAAATCTCTAACTACTTTTGTTTTTAAGTTATAGCCAAAAAGTCAAATATAAGCGAAAGATTTTATTCACAAAATTTATGGTTGTTAATCCTTGATTTTATAATATTTATTTATCGAATTTCGACTTACACGATTTGCTGTAATTAATATGATATATGATTTTTAATTTTAAAGGAATGTAGCGCAAAGAGACGCGCACTTCTCGAAGAAGCCCGCAATTTCTATCAATTCCTCCAAGACATCGAAGATGAGGAAGCGTGGTTAATCGAAAAACAACGTATTTGCCAAGCTGGGATCACAGCGAAAGATCTCCGAGGAGTTCTAAACCTCCAACAAAAACACAAACTCCTCACGGATGAAATCAAAAATTTAAAAAATAAATTCGATAGGTTAGGGCACACCTCAAACCAATTAATCCAAGCCAAGCACCCCCGTTCGGCCGAAATCCAACAACAAATCGATAACATCAAAAAAGAATGGGAAATACTTGAAAAATTGGCGAATGAGCGCGCAAAACAACTCCAAGACGCAGCGGAAGCTTATCAATTTTACGCCGACGCCAACGAAGCCGATTCGTGGTTGCACGAAAAAAAATCTTTATTAACATCAACCGATTACGGATCAGACGAACCAAGCGCCCAAGCTCTCCAACAAAGGCTTCGCGACTTACAAGGAGAATTAAACGCTTATAAAGGAGACATTCAAAGCTTAAATAACCAAGCGGAACAATTAATATCAGCAGGAATTTCTCACCTCGATCTTACAGCCCAAGTCGATATTAACGAACCCGTCGAAGAATGGAGCTACGAAATCAGAATGATCCCAACCGAAGTTTGGGAAGAAGAAGAAATCGATAAAGTAGAAAATCGCACGGTTATCGAAGACAAAGTTATCCCACAAGTTCGCGCTTTATACCCATTCAACGACCACGGCTTCACAATGGCCAAAGGAGACGTAATGATCTTATTAAACAAAAGCAACCCAGATTGGTGGTGTGTCCGTAAAAAAACCAGCGGCGTTGAAGGTTTCGCCCCGGCTAATTACGTCAAAGAAATCGAACCGATGGTAATGCAAGTGCAAGTTAGAAAACCACAAAAAATTAAGGCAACTCAAAAAGTGAAAAAGACCAAAATGGTGAAACAAAAAGTTCCCGTTAAAGTCGTAAAGCAACCGAAAGGGGGTACTGAAAAAAGAAAAGTCGACGATAGTAATTCGGTTCCGAAGCGACAAAAAAACATCAACGACAATTACAACGAATGCCAAGAATTAGCCGCGTCGAGATACACCCAATTAGAAGACGCAATCAGATTATTCGGATTCTACCGAGAATGCGATGACTTCGAAAAGTGGATAAAAGACAAAGAAAAATTATTAACATCCGATGATCCCAATGAAAACGTCGAACAAGCTAAGCGAAAATACGAAAAATTCGTCACAGATTTATCGGCAAGTAACAAAAGAATCGAAGCCCTCGATAATCAAGTTAAAGATTTCGAAGAACGCAAACCGGCTCAAATCGATAAAGTTCGCGCGAGACATCGTCAAATACATTCGGCTTGGGATCGTTTAAATAAATTAAAAGCTCAAAAAGAACGTAGTTTGGAAGGTGCTAGTAGCGTCGAATTATTCACGAGGACTTGCGATGAGGCTAAAGATTGGATGTTGGAGAAAATGGCACAACTTGAAGCGCCGATTCACGCGCACGATTTAAAGACGGTGCAAGCGTTACAAAGAAGACACCAACACCTCGAACGCGAATTAGCTCCGGTCGAAGAAAAAGTTAATAAAGTTGATTTATTGGCGAATTCCGTCAAGTCAGCTTATCCGCAAGAAAAGAAAAATGTCGATGAACGTCAAGCGGAAATTAATGATTTTTGGAATCAGGTTAGCGAAAAGGCAGCGGATCGTAAAAAGGGATTGGAAAATGCTGTTGGACAACAGATCTTCACAAATAGTGCTTTAGCCCTTTTAGGTTGGGTTGGAGACGTTAAAGAACAGTTAAATCAAGAAAATCCCGTTCGAGATGTTCAAACGGCTGAGGAATTATTGAAAAATCATCAGGATTTGGCACATGATATTAAAGCGCATGATGATGAGTAAGTATTTTTTTATTTTAACAATGACATTTCGAAATTTAAATGTCAACACTTAATGACCAACCTTAAAAAATAAATAATTTTGGGTTAATTTTCATGATAAAGTTAATCAGTTATTGGACAGTTAAGTTATTTTCTTAATTGTATTGTTTTTCTTTATAACATAACCTCAAATCTTATTTATACTAAAATCAGTCATTTATTTATTCTAACAGCTAAATAAATAATAATATATAAATAAATAAATCACGATAATGATTAAGTTTTTTGTAATCTTACCAGAAATTAACGATATTCCTTTTCAAAATAATTAAAATTATTTGTTTGACGTTGACATCTAGAGATTTAATGTTCAATTCAGAGTTACCAACAGCGTTGCCAACCTATTCCGACCAAATGTCGGTAGAATCAATGATAAAAAATCGGTAGATTTAAATACAAACTCAGAAAATGTTGTTTGGTAAAAGATTATAAATGAATTTATATATATATATATACCGGGTGTCCCTCAAAAGTGGCTCACCCCCATATTTTTCTTTATTATTGGTGATATAAGAAAACCATTTGGAATGCATAATTAGGTCGCTAAAACGGATTATTACGACATGAAATCATTCTTTTTGTACTTCCGGTTATACCNAACAGTTAAATCAAGAAAATCCCGTTCGAGATGTTCAAACGGCTGAGGAATTATTGAAAAATCATCAGGATTTGGCACATGATATTAAAGCGCATGATGATGAGTAAGTATTTTTTTATTTTAACAATGACATTTCGAAATTTAAATGTCAACACTTAATGACCAACCTTAAAAAATAAATAATTTTGGGTTAATTTTCATGATAAAGTTAATCAGTTATTGGACAGTTAAGTTATTTTCTTAATTGTATTGTTTTTCTTTATAACATAACCTCAAATCTTATTTATACTAAAATCAGTCATTTATTTATTCTAACAGCTAAATAAATAATAATATATAAATAAATAAATCACGATAATGATTAAGTTTTTTGTAATCTTACCAGAAATAACGATATTC